CCGGGCCGATGATGGGTGGCGTGGTATTCTTATTAGTCTATCACTTTAAAACTAGGAACGTCTATCACAGATAGCCCTCGAGTTCCTTTGCTCGAATTTAAACAAACAGTCACATCTTGATTGCTATTTTGTTTGCCCATACCAACCTTCACTTTCGCGTGAAGAATAAACGACCTGTAATAAGATATTCTTCTTGTGTGGTTGAAAATATTAACCTTTCACTTCGTTCCTCATTAAGTCAAAAATTCTGATCATTTTACAAAAGCTTGTAGCTTCAGGTCAAATATAATGACGCAAGCTTTGTTTGGGTTATGAAGTTAAAAAATGTGTGGGTGGATGTTATGATAAATAACGCAAAAATCATAATTTTCACACAATTTATTTATAACATAATTCATCATCAAGAGTTATGTAAAAGCTTTTAGAACTCCATATTATTACAGTATTCATTATTACCTCACCAAAAGTTTTGTATTAAGCATCAAAAACTTAATATGTATATACTTAAAACATGGTATAACACTGTGTGATAGTCAAGGTAACTTTGCAGAAAGAAGTAGCAGCCAAAGTAGTGGCAGTAGGTGTGCTTTCTGTTATCCACTTTCAACCCCCACCCCTTAATGTCCTTACACAGTATTTCACATGATCAATTAATTAACAGTCAATGGCCACAGAAGGGTCTTACAGGCCGAAGTTGAAACGCCACAGGTCAAAGTAGGAAATGAATATAACTCAAGAAATGGCTTTTCATATCAGCCTTATGGTGGCTCTTGGAGTAGAAACTTCAGCTGAGTATATACATGATTGCAATAGAGCCAGCCATTTTTTCTTTGCATTCCTACGTGGTGTGTACTAGCACACACTCTGAGATATATATTTATAAGACGTTTGTGTGCCCTCCCCTTACACTGTATGTTATGTTATAGAAAGTTTAATAAAAAGATTTTGTGTAAGGATGTGGCGCCATCTATGACTAGTTAATTTACGTCAAAGATAAAAAATAACAATAAGAGCAATAATAGAAGTGGAGGTAGTTGTGAAACACCTAATAACATGCCCTTTGTACCAACCTATTATCTCACAAAGTTCGGTTGAGATTGGCCAAGTGAACTAGGAGTAGTTAGATAACAGACAAACAGACAGACATAGATTTTTGTGCTTTATGTATATAAAAGATGAAACAAATAGATATTGAAATTGGCCTAGTGACCTAGGAGTAGTTCGATAACAGACAGACAGACAGACATAGATTTTTGTGCTTTGTGTATATAAAAGATGAAGCAAATAGATACCAATACTGCAGTCACTTGTGTGAATATTGTCAAACCATTGTAATAACATTTTGTTTTGTATAAAGTGAAGGTAGGTTCTATTTACTGTAAAAATAGAAATATAATAATATTTTATATTTTTCATCCCCTCTTGAAAATTTTCCATCATCTTTTTTGTGGTCACAGCTGCAGTTTGGGAATAATTACCTATTTAATAAGGTAGTTTGATCAAGTTATCTTCTGTTAATAGTTGCTTTAAGTTTTGAAGAAGTGGTATGTACCTATATATAATTTCTTGTATTCAGTCATAATTAGATACAGGAAGGCTAACAAGCCATACCTAAACATCATTTCATAATGGTTTCTTCTATGACCAACTTGTTGAGCTATGACATATGTTATGACACTCTGAATAGTAAATATTAAAGATTTTTGCCATTTGATTTCAGTGCAGTAACTGTTTAAGAAGATGGCAGTTAATCTCATAGCATTTTTTTTTTAGATGAACCTTGATGTTTTATAATGTGAAAGTGGCATTAGGAACTTCATCTATAATGATACAAAGTAAGAAATCATAAGGCAGAGGCCTTGCTAAGATAATTCATAGTAGTGACAGAGATATCCATCAACTACTTCTGAATAAAATCTTAACTTGATGATCTTAATATCTTGATAAATTCAGTATAACAAAAATCTCTATATCCCTGATGTTCATAGCTATCATTGCTTACCAGTAGTCAGCACATTTTTATTCTTTAAGTTCAAAGCTCTTGGAAATCTTCATATCCAACAATTAGGTAAATGAAATTGTAGAATGCAGTCAATTTCTAAGATGCAGACTTAAATACAAAAAGTATTTTCAGATTGTTTAAACGCATATAACCTTTGCAACTAAAACAGTCTGGAAACTAACAAGTAATATGCACTTTGAATCCACTTGTGTAAGAGAGATTTAACAAGAACAGCTTATGCTTTTTTCTTACTTGGTGTTTTTTTTTGGGTGCATTAGGTCATCATACAACTAGAAAGAATAGTCCACTGAGAACTCAGTTAGGTGTAACAGGCTTCTCCCTGCAATCATGTTTTGTATATCATAAAGCTTGAAATGTTTAAATGTTGATATTTTTTTTCGACTCATTTTAATTAAGTTTTGAGGATGGAATAGTCGAGATGGACCAATAGGTCCCATGTTATCCCAAAATATTATGTTATGTTAAGTGCACTTAAGTCACATTAATACTTGTGTATAAATGTACTTTCAAAATAGTACAATTTTGAACTCACTGACATCAATGAGTATAATAGAATGATAATATTTTATTTTCATACATTTCAAAATTTTCTTTTTTGGGACTTGTTAAATATAAAGAAAATTATATTTGTGTTTAGTCTATGAAAGTAGTACATTAAATTGGGACATTTGCTTATTTCTGAGAAATCGTTATTCTAAACTATCTATTAGGATGAAGCAAGAAGAGCTCAGATATTTGCAGGAGCCAAAGAGAAGATGATGAAGATGAGAAAAGAAAAAGAACAAGAAGAGTACAGGTACACAGATAACTTAATTATTGGTGTGTAAAAAAGTACAAAATAGATATATTCTTTCTTAAAGATACAGCAATACTATTTCATGGTAAAGCAGTCCCAGTTGTCATAAGCTTAGTTGTAGAAGTATAGGATTCTTAAATGATACAATAAACAACTTGAATTCTATATACTCTTTCTTTTTACCCAACAAACCCCATATATCAAACAACTAAGACCTCCATTTCCAGCAGTAGCTTGGCTTATTCATCATAACAGTTCACTCTGAGCTGATCAGTTAGAATTTCAAAATCTGTGAATGTCTGATCGAAAAATACTTTTTTTTTCTGTTTTGTTAAAGTTACAGGCATAAGATTTATGATTCCAAAACTGTGTTGTTGTGTGAGCTACCTTCTCCTAAGTATTATTCAATGCATGCATTAGCCAGAAAACTGTATGTTTTACATGTTGGGTACATTATACTAAAACTGATGCCAAAACTGTGTTGTTGTGTGAGCTACATTCTCCCAAGTATTATTCAATGCATGCATTAGCCAGAAAACTGTATGTTTTACATGTTGGGTACATTATACTAAAATGACTTGTATAGTGAAAAACAGCAAGTCACGTGATAACCATACCCAATATTAAGTCGCAATGAAATGGCATGTATCAAAACTACATTTTACTTTGTGTGATACTACCAAAAAATTGATTGTTATTGGGAATGGTATCCAACAGCCCTTTCTGACTCAAAATATTCTTACACTCAGATCATAGAGGTGTGCTCAGATCAGGGATTAAGAGTTTATATGATAGGGATATCCCTTGTATTTAATAACATTGGAAAGAAAAAAGAACATGGATCAACTTGGGGCACCAGTTTCATCCAGAAAGAGGTCTTGCAGTAAATTGTACCCCAGCTGTGGTAAGCAAACTGTGGCTTCTTGTAACAGATGAGAATCCACAAATAAAAAGGTAAGTGACAAAAGTCATCCAAGTGCCCCAGGCAACAGTACGCAACATAATCAAGAGGGATCTTCATCTGGAAATGAGGCTAATAGGGTAGATGTTAACCAAGATAAGGCTTCCAGTCGTATCTCCCACTTAATTTCACATACATGAAGCAGATGGAGAATGATTTTTGTGTCATCAGACTGCTGAATTGGATGCTGGGAAACTGTTGTCTTCGTACACTAAATGGATTACAGAAAACAATCAAGGAGGAGTGATGTGCTTTGGATATGACAATATTGCAGAAAAACCTTTAGCTATGTAAACTGCAGGACTTTTGTCAAAATACACAGTCATCAGATAGAGCATGACCAGATGTGACATAATATAATGTACTAAGCCCTTTGTAGATCACAAAATTAAGTCTCATTCACAATTTTCAATCTTTCAATAAGTGCCTTTATGGGAGAAACTATTGGTGAAATACCACTCTTAAAAACCTTTATTTGTGGAAAACACAAGTGTGAATTTCTTGGCTATTAGTGTAAACTCAAGCCTGAGTTGTGTATCCAAAAGTAATAGTAATAGGGGGAACTGTAACAAAAATGATGACACACAACCGTAAATTGTGCTAAATGTGCTAAAAACATTAATGACTGATACTAAGTGCCTAGAGAATTAATATAAAAACTGTTACTTATATTTGATCAACCTTAATATATTTAGAGAATTGACTTAAAACTGAAAAAAGCCTTTGTGTTAAAAAGGAATTTTTTGTCTTAAACATATAATAAATCCAGTTATTAAATAGCTGATAAATAAAATTTAAATATAAAAAATTGACTATAGTAACCTACTAGTTAATAGGTAGTACAAGGGTTGATTTAAAAAATTCATGGGTTGACCTTTTAGTTGAAGCAGTTGATTATTCTGAATCAGTTCTAATTCCTTTTGTTTTTATAAACTTGTATGATCTTTTGAAATAAAATATTGTTTGCATTCTAACCAAATCCACATCTATACATGATTGTAGAAAAAAGCTGGAACAAAAAGAAAAGATGATAGAGTTGTTAGTTTCACACCTTGGAAAGAAATTTCAAAAGGAGGAAGATTTTTTCGAAAAGAGTAAAGCAGAAATAGAAAAACAGCAACAGGAACTAGAAAGAAGAAAAGCTGAAGAAAGAAAGAAAATTACTGAGGAAATTCTGAAAAGTCATCAGCAACAGGTATGTCATTCTATTAGGTTTTTGTGTAAATTTAACTTTAACATGTTAATCTGATAAATATGCTACTTGTATGAATAAATGTTAAGTTTATAAGGATATGACATGATATATTTAATACGATTTGGTATATTAAAAGTTTGAAAAGGTCTTAATTGGTTTCTAGTCATTGCAAGGTATGATAGTTTAATAAATTGGGAAGTAAATTCCCTTTTGTGTATGAGAGAAAATGGACATTACCATTTTAAATTATGATAGTTTTATAAAATATTAAAGTGGGTAGTTTACTAAATTTTAAAGATTAACCTGATTTATTTAATTATAGGATCCCTAATAACAAATGAGTTGCAGAAAAAGATTGTAAACATAAATACCTTCAATATACCGTTTAATCCTACTACTGACTACTGGGATTTCCTATATATTTTACATAGACAATTAGTGACTTAACTCAATCTTTTGTTAAGGTCTTTACACTAGATGTTGTGACAGACAAAAACATAAACAATGTGCAAACAAATCAGTAGTTTAAGGGTTAAGTTGGCTAGGCCTCATGAAGCATTGGGATCATGATTGAAAGCATGGTTAACAGTGAAGGTATCTAATTAACAAGTTAATACTATCTACCCTTCTAGAGTTTCTGATTCTGTGATTCATTAAAAATTATAACACACTTTGTAATTATATTTCATTCTAATTGGAATTTTAGTGACTAGTTATTCAAAATTAAATGTTATAATAACAAAGTTAGACTACAACTATACATCTTAATCTGCACAACTAAAGATAAGTCTCAATAATATTTTATATTAATTTATCATAACTATAGTTGGACCAATAAGCTTGCTTGTATTACTGGTAATTGCAGAATATAAATTTCTGGTTGTGATTTCCCTAATAATATATTTTTGTTGATGATTTTCTTTGCTGTTAAGTGAGTCATATGAAACAATGTGCTAGATTTTTCTGATTTAACACAGTATAGTTAATAATCTGCAATTTTTTTTTTCCATGCAAGTAGCATAGCAGCCTGTGCATTCTAAAATTTTGTACATTTTCACTGGAGGTGTCACACTAAAATTCTTGGAGTTTTATGCAGATCTAAAATATCAGCATTTAAACACAATCCAAAAACTTTCCTTTAGTTATGCTAGTGATTATCATGAAACTAGCTATTAATGGAACAGTTTCCAACTTCTCTCTTGAGAAAAAAGATGCAATTAATAACAAATACACTAAAGTGGTGCATTATTTATTCTATTGAATGGCTAACTGTAATATTTAGCAAAGTAAGGCCAAATTTAATACACACATAGTTTAATAATTTATTCTCCAAGTGGATTTATCTGTGAATGGGAATAATGATAAACTATAAGGAGAAAAATGTGTACCCTTTTTTAATCCCTAAAACATATTTGTATAATTTACATAGATTTCTAAAAAGTTCCTGAGAAAAAAATTGCATGTTCATTTCCATTATTTGATAATAAATGAACTTGATAAAATTACACTTTATGTAAACATGAATATCTGAAAATATTGTAATAATGTTTTGACACAAAAGCAAAATACTTGAAAAGATTATATGATTTTAACTAGTTTAAAAAGTATATTGTACAAAGAAAGTAAGTACTCATTGAAATTTTAAAAAGTTTCAGCATAACTCTGTAACTGTGTTTATACATTTGTGATAAATGTTCATTAAGGTTAAAGATATTTTCACCCTAGGCTCAAGAGAAGAAGCAAAAGTTTGAACAAGAGAAGTTGATTGAGTTGGAGGACATGTATCAGCGGGAGGAAGCTGCAAAGCTCTTTCATCGTACCCAACAAGATCAGAAACAAAGAAGATTGAATGCTGCACATAACTGTGAAGACTTCCAAAAGCAACAAGCTGTATGTTACATTATTTTTGTATATTACAATTTATTACTTTAATTTTGTTTGTTGTAAAGCCATTTTGATAAAGGTTTTTTTTAGCAATTTTAAACATTAATTAACTTGCGTATATATGTATATATATAATGCTTAGCTTGTCAGTTTCTTGCTCATTTTATCATTATATATTTCTCAGTATGTCAGTTTTGTGTAGTTGTTTTAGTTCTGCTTATTATTGATTAGTGTGTCAGCTCCATATAATTGTTATAGATGTAATTTTCTAATGCAGTATGACAGATTCTTAAAATAAAGAAGTTTAGCTCAATTTTTTCATAATGGTTAAACTGGTGATTAATATTAGTAATAATACATATTACCTTTTCTGTGTATAACAGTTACTTAAACTTTAAGCTACACCTAATATAAGAAGATATCACCAACTTTCTTGTCTACTGCATCCTGTTCTATGTTGCTGTTCTGTAATAACAGCCACTATGTGTACTGATGTATAGTTCTATTATAACTTTCAGTTGTTGTTGATAAGATCAGTTAAACTAATTTGAATTTATTTTCTCACTTATTTCTCACTTGAATGCTTGTAATTTCTAGTATTTTAGTTTATTGCAGACTGTATTTGTTAAGTTTGTCTCATTTGTTTCCTGAACTTATTGCATACTTGATTCTTGAATGAGTTTTTAATTTTTTGTCACTTTACAGACTTGATGGAAAAATTAGTTTGTATCTTTGTCATTTTAACATATGTTATGGCTTTGATGGCAAAATTAGCTTATATTTTTTGTCACTATACCTTATTACACGTGATTGTTGAATTAGTTTGTATTTCTTTTGTCACTTTACTTGTTACAGACATGATGGTTAAATTAGTTTGTATTTCTTTTGTCACATACTTGTTACAGACATGATGGTTAAATTAGTTTGTATTTCTTTTGTCACTTTACTTGTTACAGACATGATGGTTAAATTAGTTTGTATTTCTTTTGTCACTTTACTTGTTACAGACATGATGGTTAAATAGTTTGTATTTTTTGTCACCTTACTTGTTACAGACATGATGGTTAAATAGTTTATATTTCTTTTGTCACTTGTTACAAACATGATGGTTAAATTAGTTTGTATTTTTCGCTAATTTAATCTATTATAGACTTGATGGTTAAATTAATTTGTATTCTTCTTATCACTTTAAACTTGCTGAAGATGTGATTGTTGAATTAGCTTATATTTCTTTTGTCGCTATAATTTGTAATAAAATTGATAGTTAAATTAATTGGTTATTGCCTTTGTTACTTTAACTAGTTGCAAGTGAGATGATTAAATTAGTTTGTATTCCTTTTGTCACTTAAACTGGTTGCACATGTGATTGTTAAATTATTTGGTATTTCTTTTGAAACTTTGACCTGATGAAGAGCTATTGCCCAAAACGTTGCAAATAAATATAAAGTTTTTGTCATAGATGTGTGTTTTACCGGTTTTGAACACTTTCTTTCATTATTTTTTCATGTCTTGCGGTCCTTTCTACTGTGTGTCTTTACTCTTTTTTTACCTGATCTATATGTAAAGTAGAGTTGCCAGTCTGTCTGTGTTGGCATGGCATCACAAGTTCTTGTGAAAAACTGGCTGAACAATTTTCCATAGAATGTAATAGAGGACTCAGGTGGACCTTTCCAAAGAACAATTTAAAATTAATAAGCAAGTGGATGAATATTTTGAATTTGAGCCCTCATTTGCAGCATTAAGGCGATAAAATTGAAATGTCTAGCCATTTCAATTTTACCACCTAAGTTCCACTAATGAAGGCCCAATTGAACCAAGATGTTGACAAGCAAAATATGTGAAACCTAAACTAAAATGAAAGTGATATTTAATGCTTTTTATAGCATGAGTACCTTTGCACTGGATAAACAGATCATGTGCTATAGATGAAAATACTGGAAGCACTGATAGCACTACTTTCTAAATCTGACACTGCCTAGCTGGTACCTTTGCTAGTAAAAGATAAAAATAAAAGCACTGATTAGTGTAACTAAATTAATCATTCAACTAACTGAAATTCGTTATTTTGCAAACATGTTAGAAAGAAAAATTGGAAACCAAAAAGGAACTACAAAAACAACAACTGGAAGATGACCTTAAACTTTATGAGCAGTTACATAAAGAAGAAGCAACTTTCCAGAACTATGCACAGGAATTGATTCGAGAGAGTGAGGCTAAAAACAGAAAAACCTTTCCGCTTTACCGTGCTGCCATGCCAGGGATTGGAGGAGGATTTGGTCCTGTATACAAAGAAAGAGGTGGTATTCGACCAAGTTACTTAGCCTCAAACCAAAGTGGAGCAGAAATGCCTCATTCTCAACCACCCGTATCTCCAGAGTTCTCCCAAACACAGACGTATGAAAGACTTGGGTTTATATGATAACACTGGTTTTTATCCAAGTCTTAACTCAGACGTATTGTTTGAGGTAATTTCACTAAGCTAGTCAAAGAAGTTAATCATTCTAATAGTTTTGTAGTTCTCTTATATTTTATACCTTATAAAATTTTTGTAATATTGAAACAAAAAACTTGCAACAAAACTGGTACTTTTGATAGGAATTTAAGGTATTGTATTTGTTGAAATTCATAGAAATATCATTCCATAAACAGATGAAAACATCAAAATGAATGGTATGATGGACAAGTTAATTAAAATTGGAATTTAAAAATAATGGATTTGCTTTCACTGTTCTCAAAATTTATATTTCATTAATTGAATGGGTACAACAGTTCTTAATATCATGGTGTTATTCATTTTTCTGTAGTCGTGAGGATGTATCTAATTAAAATTACCTAGTTTGCACAAAATTACCTGTGTAAAAGTCAATTATCAGATATGTTTTGAATAATTTTAATTTATTAGTAAAGTGAAATGTGTGTTACTGTTCCTTACATTAAAATAAAACTACATAGTAGATTACACATATAGCTTTGTTCAGTGTAAAGAATTGGAGAATTAGATACACAAAACATTTGGTACAGTATGGAAATATTATAACAAAGCAGGAAAAAAACTGAAGTTCTTATAAGTATACATTTTTGTTTATATACCTGAAATATAATGTTTCTGTACTATCTAGAACTTTTAACTGTTCCTCTGATGTAATATAATACTGTTCCTTATAAAAGGTTAATTTGATCATCACAATTGGAAAAATAATGTATTTAATTTTTTCATCACTAGTAAATAATATATCCTTATTCAATTATATTAAGATAATTTTTTCAAACTTTTTGTATAAGTCTTCTGCATTTATAGCTGGCATTCTGGGAAACAGGATGTGAAGGGTCGTAAACTTCTGGTACTCCTCTAATTTATACAAAGATTACATACTACAATGATTGTTCAGTGGAATTGATACTTGTTTGAACCTGTTTCTGTATCATCACTCCATTGGGGTGTAGTTCATACTCAAGTTGAGGGAGTGGTGCAGGATTTTGTACAAGTTAGTATGAGTTGGGGTTTTACTGGCCTTTAATATGCACAATAGGAATGATTGTTGACATAAGTAATCTAGGGTTGTTGAATGTCACACTAGGAACTTTTGCTGTGACTTAATAGTGTGATATCATCATGACCTTGCTTCAGCCTTCATCTGATATAGGTGACTCTCTCTCCAGCTCCAGCAATCAGAGAAGTTCAATAAAAGATCATAAAAACTGACCAGCTGTAGTCAAGATCCTAGACTTTACTTTGAATAAAAATTTTGTTTTTATCTATTCAGGTGTATTTGCTTCTTTCTTTGCTGGTAATGTTTACGAAATATTTCCTAAATTTACTGCTTATTGCAAATTACATATAACTTACTACGTGGACGTAGAGTTTTATTCATTGAGTATAAGCACCATCTCACACTTAATTCGTGTTATAGAAAGCTATCAGTATACAACATCTTTTACCTGTGTAGCACCTTACGATAACAAATTTTCATTAACACTTTTACGGGAATATCACATTCCAGATTTCATATTGATATTAAAAACAATAAACAAAAAAATTATCAAAATATTACATACTATGTAATTACAATGCATGGTTAGGGCAGTTTTCTTAATAATGTCATATTAGGTGTTCTTAACAGAATAGTTAAGTCATAATTCTAATATGGTTATAAAACTGTTACAAGAAAATATCGGTGGTGTTGACTATAGCTGCCTTTCCTCTAGCCTATCATTTCTAAATTAGGGATGGCTAGCGCAGATAACTGCCAAGTAGCCTTGCACGAAACTGAACGAACAAACAAATACAAACCTTTCACAATTACATCATTTAAATATGGAAATATACAAAAAGGAACATAAATCGGGACAGGTATGAAAAGGCTTGGATACATATAACACAAGTTAACATTTAAGAGAAGGGGAACCACTAACTGTTGATCGTACAAGAATAGAAAATGAATGAAATAGAATTTAACAGAACCAGTTAAAACAACGTATGAGAATAAGCAATTGAACTTAATGAGAGCAAAGAATCGGAACCAAATCAAAAATCTATATAATAATAATAATAAAACAAAATATTACAGCACAAAAAACAAATACTACCCTTCAAGTATAAACGCGCGTACAACACAAAGTTAGCTGATTGATATACGTAAAAAGAACATCACGATATATATTTATTTATAAAACCTAGGTCTAAGTTTACACACAAAAAAAATACATTGAAACATTATAAAATGATAAGAGCAAATTCAATATTAAATGTGAATATTAAAAATAAATGTTTAAAAATGTCACCTCCTTCTAGCTGCAATCTGTCGATAAAGTTCGGTAACCTGTATCAGCTTTTCTTGCAAAGTCGTCCTGTGTCTGGCGGAATAACTTTTTGGATTCAAAGCTGTTCCTACAGCAATGTTGCCAGCTTGGAGGTGGTGATGGTCGATGCTCAGTTTTCCAAAACTTCCTAAAGGTCTTTTTTTTTGATGCTGTTTAAATGTCTAGTTCTGCTGACATAGTGTGAAAACGAAACACCTAAACCACCGAAAGATGAAGTCAAAAGCATGTGCCCCTTTGAGAAAACTTCAGACAGTTCAGGGAAGTCATAAGATGAGCTGAAATTCGTCTTCTTTAACATCTCGTTTTCGCTCTCATCCTTCGAAAGTAAGCTAATGTGCGATAAGTGGAAACCAGAAGGAGGCGTCCCACGTCCATTGGTGTTAGAGCTAGTGAAGCATCTGTAGTTGCAAACGTAATCATGAGAGGAATCTAATCCTTGAGCTTAATGGTGGGAGACTAACATTAATATTGAGTATGTCTTCCAGTATGTACGTAAAAAAGTAACTTTCAAAACTTAAAGAAAAATTACAAGTAAGCTTTAATACTTTTACCTGCTCTGTTAAATAATACCATCACTGGTTAACTTAACCAGAGAAAAGTCAAGAGTTCAGATTTCAATGTAGGATGGTGACTGACAAAACCACATTCCAACCACACATTGTAGTTTCCATTACTACCAGTTCATGGTTGAATGTGCAGATTTCACACTAGCTTAAACGAGGTGCACCGTGATGTACCAATTTTGGCAACTTTATATACCACTCTTAAAATTATACCACTTGCATGTACGCCGAAATACGGTGGTTGGGTGATGTTCTCCCTGCAAGTGAATTGCCTATTTTTTCAGGTAAAGTGGCACAAGAAAAGAAAAAGGACAATTGTAGTCCAATAGCAAGCAGTCTACAGTTGTATCACCGCCTGTATGATGCAGTACCACCCACACTGTTGCTTCACTTATCGGCGATTAAAAGAGTTGTCGACTTTTCTTTCTTGACACCAGGGGACACGACAGAGAGCAGCACTCAAGTTGACTTTATTGCTTTCTCACCTATACGTGTGTGACTAAAATTAAAAAGACAAGCTAAACTTAGCATCGTTTATTGTTACGTATCACGACTGAAAAATCTACTTTCTTATGTTCTGAAAGATATCCTGAAATTTTTAACTTTAACCAAACAAAACTACTATTTTCTCCGATGTACGTTGTAGCTACCAAAGTCCACTTTCTTGAGCTGACTTAGTACTATACAGGAAAGAAAGTCATACAAATAATAACGTTTCTTTGTCTATCCCATTGTGCACTTTCTTCAATTAACTTATAACTTTATTTTCTAAATAATGCGATTTCTTGAATGTCTACCATATTTATGTATGCACATTTTTATATCTATGCAATATCCACACACAGATATTGCTTGGTAGGAGATTTAAACACAACAGGAGAACAGTTCCAATGATGAACATTTTCATTGCCAGGCTTGTGCAGAAAAAGAATATTCAACACTATCGCTCTGTAATTCTTTCTAGTGAAAATCACAATTAGTTCATGATGAGATTATGGATCTTTTATACACTATTCTGCTGTTTTTTGTTCATCTATCTGTCTTTACTGCTTATATAGATACAAACAAATACCATTAAGCAAAGTTGATAGTTACTTTAGAGCAGGGGTCACCAAACTTTTTTTCACAGCGGGCCAGAGAACTGAAAGAATGACGAGCGCGGGCCGCATAACCATTTTGTTCAATACAATACAGTGAATACACAAAAAAATAAA